GTGGACGTTTCGGCATATGGAGATTAGCGATATGGTTGCGCGCCGACTCGTGCTCCCAGTCGTCATAGTCCAGCCAAGGCGCTGATTTGTTGTTGCTTTCGGCCCCTTTGCCTCTGCCCGCCTGCTGCGTTCGCAACGGCGCAGCAGGTCTCCCTGTCGACTGCAACTGCGAATAACGCGGGGGGGCCGGCACTGCATCTCTAGAACCAACTCTCCGCCAGCTCATGGAGGCGCCGAATGGTGTGCCTCCACAAGTCCTGCTGCACGTCCCAAACTGGCCAACGTCCTCGCCCACGATAGTGAGCGTCTCGCTCGCCTGTGCCACGATGCCTCCGCGGGCCGATCGCTCGTCGCAGCAAGAATCAAGAAGCGCTGGAATCGCGGCAAACTGATCGCACGCCTGAGGACCTCCCCCTCCTCATCCTCCGCCTCCTCCTGTTTGGCATTGACCACACCTGAATGTTACATTGAGAATATATATATATATATATATATATATATACACACACATATACATATACATATACATATACATATACATAATAACAACAATAATAATAATGATGATACTAATAATAATACGAATAATGCAAAACAGCACAAAGACGAAATAACCAAAAACACACAAAAAAACAACAAAAAATACAAAAACGAAAAAGAGGGAAAACAAACAAAAAAAAAAAAAAACAAAAAAAAATCAAACAAACAAAAACTACTCGGCGCAAAGGGTACCTGGCGGGCGCCGCGCAAGATGTGGTAAAAAAGAAACGCAGCGGCAGGTATAGACGAAAGAGCGGGCGCCCGCCGGGTACTGCAACATGTACCTCAGTAAGATAATCCGCCGGACGAAAAGATGTGTATCAACAAATGTACGATGAGACCCCTCCCCTCGCGGTGTAGGTACAAACTGCAAAAAGAGTGCAGGAGGCGGCTGTAAAACAGTGCGTCGCCTCGGCAGGTAAGGGCTTAAGCTACGAAGACACGTGGGCAGAGTGCTCACTTGTCCGAGAGCAGTGCAAGAACACGATAGGCGGACAGTGTGCAACTCTTGGGCTGCTACCCTTAGACAGTATGTCCCTCCCGACCCAAGTTCTCAACCTCTGTCCCCTTTTCGGATAACCGTGGTCCTAAAAAGTGTAAATGTGATGCTGTGGGGCAGGTAAAGATAATGCTACCCTGAGGCTAAAGTACATAAGTGGTGCTATGTTGTAGCAGACAAAAAATGAAGTAGGCTGGGTTGGATAGGCTGGATTGGGTAGGCTGGCCTGTGAAATATTGGCGCACAGATGCGAGGTAAAAAAAAACAATCCGTGGGCTGCTACCCGTATCGTTTCGGTTCCTCGGGGGGGGGTCCCCTTCACCGTTTCAGTTCCTGGGGGGGGGGTCCCGTCACTTTTGCCACCAGTGTGGCTGTGCTCTCCCCTGAACTCGCGAGGTACGGAGGGAAAGGTAAGGAAGGAGTGTGCTTCCCCAGACAGAGCTTGCTTCTGTAGGAGCCCTAGCGGATTCATATGGTTAGGTGAGGTGCGGCGCCGATTTCGGCGGCACGCCCGGGTGCCAGGTGACTGGGTGCCCGGGTGCCAGGGTGCATGGGTGCCCGGGTGCCCGTGGTGCCCGTGGTGCCCGGGTGCCCGGGTGCCCGGGTGCCCGGGTGCCCAGGTGCCCAGGTGCCCGGGTAGCCGGGTGCCCGGTAGCCCTATAGCCCTACAGCCCTCCGTGTAGCCCGATAGCCCGATAGCCCACAGCCCTATAGCCCAAAAGCCCAAAAGCCCTATTGCCCTTTAGGCCCGAAAGCCCTATAGCCCTACAGCCCTACAGCCCTATAGCCTTTTAGCCATATCGCCCTATAGCCCTATAGCCCTATAGCCGTACAGCCCTATAGCCCCATAGCCCTATAGCCCTAAACCATCATGGTCGGAGCTTTCTCCGGTATCAAATGTAAGGAGAGCGAAGAGCTTAATGGTGAGGCTGGCCTGTCTGTGCTGACATGATGAAAAAAATCAGCTGGCAAAATATTGTCAAGTGACTTGAGGAGGAGGAGTAGGAGAAGGAGGACGAGGACGAGGACGAGGACGAGGACGAGGAGGAGGGGGAGGACAAAGACGAGGACGAGGACGATGACGAGGAGGAGGAGGAGGAAGAGGAGGAGGAGGAGGAGGAGCAGGAGGGTAGCAGCCCAAGAACCGCACAATCGTGCGGAATAGTTGGGGACGGGACGGGTGGGCTTATGACTGTGATGGGGGTCGTGGAAGGATGGACTTGCCGACCAAGGGTAGCAGCCCAAGAATTGCACACTGTCTGGCTGTATTTTTTCTATCCTGCAAAGCTGTGTACAGCGACACACCTTGCCATAATATTTCCGTCAGTATACACTGGCCGGCCTCGCATGCACTACGTCATCTTCTTGTTTATTATCTATGTATGTATCTACTTATGCATTTTTATTACTAGTATTATTATTCGTCTTACCATTGTTATTACTGATATTATTATTAATAATAATAATAATAATACTAATAATAATAATATCAGCATTATGATTATTCATACTAGTATTAGCCTGATTAGCCTTATTGCTCGTATTAGTAATAATACTACTTTTACTAGATGAGTTATAGTACTCTTAATATCGTTACCGATAGCAAACTTAGTAATAGCATCAGTCTTAACATCAGCATTTGAATAATTATTATGATTAGTATGTGCATTATTGTTCTTATGAGTATTACTATTATCCGTGTTCTGTTCAGTATTAATACTAGTATTATTACAAATATTGTTCACCCTATTATTATTTTTGCCTGTAGCAGTATTATCAGTAATAGTATGATGCTTATTGTTGTTATTATTCCGCTTATTCTTAGGGTTCGTGGTATTCGTTTTCGGCTTCTTAGTATCATTCGAGTGATTATTTGTTCATTATGCGTCGTCAAACGATTATTCGTATTTTTATTACTACCACTCATCTTGTTATTCGTGACAGTATTACTCTTCTTTGTTGTACTATCATTAGTATGATTATGCTTCTTCTTCATGTTATTGTGTTTATTATTCCTCCTCTTCCTCCTCCTCCTCCTCTTCCTCCTCCTCCTCCCCCTCCTCCTCTTCCTCCTCCTCCGCATCCGCCTCCGCCTCCTCCTCCTCCCTTCTCCTCCTCCTCCTCCTCCTCCTCCTCCTCCTCCTCCTCCTCCTCCTCCCCCTCCTCCTCCTCCTCCTCCTCCTCCTCCTCCTCTTCCTCCTCCTCCTCCTTCAACAAGAGATAGCTCACACCACGGCTCGGATTGCCCGTCTTCAGCTTCGCGTCTCTCCTCAGAACGGAGATCCCGCTGAGGACCTCGCTCCAGCTCAGCACGCGAACCAGCGCTGGCCGGCCTCCGAGACGTCCCAGATGATGGACCCGACAAGGTTCCCTTGAGGCTTCAGGGTCTTGATGAGGACCGATGTGTGACGCATATAGTTCGACTCGCAGTCGAGAAACTCTCCCTCGCTGGCCGGGCTGATCTCCTCGCTGCGCGCCATCGCACCCACGCTGAAGCCGGTCTCGTGCTTCGCTGCTGCAGCGGCCCCGCGAGCGTTCGGCGGGTTGCTGCGCTCATTCGCCCAGTGGCCCACTTGCCCGCAGCGCGCACACTTGGCACGCAGTTTGATCACATCGATGTGCACCCTGACCTTCCTGCCCTGCCCGTCCCTGTATTTCGTGCTGGTGCCGAACCTAGCCACTGTCGCGGGTGGAGACGGGTAGCGGCCGGCCTTGTCCTTCCCACTGCTCTTGCCGCCGTTGTGGAAGCCTCGGCGGTTCTTCTCCTGGCGCGACGACTCGCGCACCGCCTGGCAGGACGCCAGCGCCGAGGTGACGTCGGCCTCCTCGTGCACCTCCCACAGGTCATCCTCGAAGACGTAGATATGCTCCTCGTCGTCCTGCCCGTCGCTGTCCCCCGTCCTCGGGAAATTCTCGGCCCCGTTCTGCTCAGGGTTGCCGTCGTCGTCGAAGAAGTGGCGGCCCCCCTTGAAAGTCGTCACTTTGTCCAGGCGTCGAAGTGCCTTGATCACCCCTTCTTCTCTGAAACTGCTGGTGGCCAGGTCTTGATCATATATTCGCCCTTGTCTCCGAGCTTCGCGTGACGCATCATGATATAGCCACGCGCCTCTGCCGGCAGCTGCACATCATCTCGCTTCAATTCATTGAACCTACCGACCGCCGCCAGCGTGTACTCGAGCATCGACTGGCCGTTCTCGCGGCAGGACGTGCACACAGCCTTCTCGAACGCCCGGGGCATAGTCTGCTCGAGGTACGGCGCGAAGGCCTCGTCCAGGATCTGGATGATGATTTCCAGGCCACCCTCAGACGTGATATCCTCGACCTCCATGTCCGCGATTGCCTCCTTCGCACTGCTGGTCTTCGCCTCACTTCGCCGAGGGAATGTCCGTCGTCGTAACCCACAGCCTGCGCTCCTTCTTCCACACCTTGTACGTACTCTCTGGCTTAACGCCATCGTATCCAGGCTGTGGGCCCTTGTCCTTGCCGAATGTCTGCGTGTCCTCCTCGCCCTCAATGCCGTCCTCGGCCGGCATGGCGTTCATGGGAGCCGGTGGATCTCACCTGCTCCGCTACCACTGTGAATGCCACTGATCGTGATGATGTGATATCACGTGCTCCTCGCAGTAGGCTTAATTCCCACTTGTACAGCACGCAACAGAAACAGGCACTCACAATGAACGTGGGAAATATGAGAGTAGAGGATGTTACTGGTGTGCTCTGGGTTAGGAGACTGGAGAAACGGGGGGTAAGCCAGCCCGAGCAGGATATTGCTGCAGCGAGCGTCGGGTAGAGAGCAGAGCTGGGCTGAAGGGAAGAGCGGAGGCATACGTAGCACTATGCAAACACAGGGGAGCAGGGACGACAGCAGCAGAGAGGCGGGGAGAGACAGGAGCCAAAAGGGGGGAAAGAGGAAATGATGCGGGATGGGCGGAAGAGCTTGACTTTGAGGCCCAAGCGCAGCCTCGATCTCTATCTCGAACTTGACTGGCTCCCGAGTGAGAGCCTCGTGCTCAACCTGACCGGCGAGATATCGCGCTTCCTCCCACCCCTCGGGGTGCTACTCCCACCGAGCAAAGCACAAGGGGAGAGAGGGGGCGTCTGGGATGCCCGGGGGAGATTTGGGGGCCTGCGTGGCTAGAAGATCAGATGGGCCTGGGGCACGGCTGGGAAATCTGGTTCGGAGGGTGTGGATGGTCTGGGGGCCTGAAAGGGCTCGGAAAGTTCGAAGACCCTGGGAGCTCTCCAGGGTCTGCGGGATCTCGGGAATCTGGCAGGGGAGGGAGCGACGAGAATGGCGGCTCGCTGAAGGTGAGAACGAGGAGGGAGGGGAGGGCTCTTGAGGGGGGGGTCCCCTTAGAATGGCCATCCCTTTGGAGGAGGAGGAGGAGGAGGAGGAGGAGCAGCAGCAGCAGCAGCAGCAGCAGCAGCAGCAAGGGCGGGGTCTATGGCATAGACGAGAGAGAAGCGGACGGTGAGAGGACGAGCAGCGGCATAGGCAGAGTGACGTATGCTCTGCCGCGGTCGAGCTCCAGAGGGCTTCGGGGCCACCTGCCAACCCAAGAACACCGAGTTGGCGACGATCAGCAGCATCACGCATATCTCGTAGCGACTGTCCTTGACGACGTCCTGCCGGGGAGCAGAACCGCAGGAGCCCTCCTCCCTGGCGCTCTCCGGCGCCGGCCGATGCCAGCAGCTGCACCGTCGAAGCTGGCATGCGAGAAGGGATGTGGAGGAAGGGGTACACGGCAAGACAACATCAGAGGACTGCACACTCGAGAGCGTTTGTCTGTCAAATACACGTCGTTCATTTCTAATCGTGCTCATTTCTATTTGTGCTCGTTTCTAACAGTTCCTGGCCCCCAGTGGCTCGGGATGGAACGATTAGAAACGAAAGGATCTTGGCCCCCCAAAAAATCAAGGAACTTTCGAAGAATTAGAACTGAACAACGTGTACCTCCAACAACGGCCGTCGCCCAGAGAAGAGGGAGGTTGGGGCCCTGGACAACGGCAACGTCTGGGCGGGGTGGGGGGCACGGCGGCGCGGGGGGCGCGCTGCGATCACCATAGTCTTGAAGGGGCCCAGGGACACACAAATAAATAGACACAAGTAGCAGGATTCCCCATGTTTTCCCATATTTTCTGGGCTTTTGTCTTCCCCCCCGCTTCCCATATTTCCGATATTTTGCTGGGAATCGACGATTAACTGTTCCCTACCTAGGCTCTGCCTAGAAGGGTTGTTCTTACTCTTTTTGCTTAAAGGGGCTGGGCAGTGCAAATCGCCCCGGGCGGTTCCCCCAGTCCCCTGGGAGCGGTTCCCCCAGTCCCCTGGGAGCTTCAGCTTTAGCTTTAGCTTTAGCTTAGCTTTAGCTCAGTTTTAGCTTAGCTTTAGCTTAGTTTTAGCTTAGCTTTAGCTTAGCTTTAGCTTAGCTTTAGCTTAGCTTTAGCTTAGCTTTAGCTTAGCGTTAGCTTAGTTTTAGCTTAGCTTTAGATTAGCTTTAGTTTAGCTTTAGCTTAGCTGTACCTTAGTTTTACCTTAGCTTTAGCTTAGCTTTAGCTTAGCTGTAGCTTAGATTTAGCTTAGCTGTACCTTAGCTTTAGTTTAGCTTTAGCTTAGCTTTAGTTTAGATTTAGCTTAGCTTTACCTTAGTTGTACCTTAGGTTTAGCTTAGGTGTAGCTTAGCTTTAGCTTAGTTGTACCTTATATGTACCTGAGATTTAGCTCAATTTTAGCTTAGCTTTAGCTTAGATGTAGCTTAGAGTTAGCTTAGATTTAGCTTAGCTTTAACTTATGTTTAGCTTAGTTTTAGCTTAACTGTAGCTTAGCTTTACTGTTCCTACTGATGCTGCTTTCCTAGGGGCTCCAACTCCTAGGTAGGTTCGCACTGGGATCATGTCTGTGTTTTTGTTCCCTCCTGAATTGTACGCGCGCGAACACCATCATGTGGGGGGGGTCCCGGCGCACGATCGCTGCCATTGCCCGGAGGGGGACGGGGTTGGCCCGGGTAACGACCGCGACGCGCCAGATGACAGAAAACGAATCTCCTCGTGCCAGCAGGAGCTGGGCAGAGCTGGAACCAGAAAGCGGGCTCGGCCGAAAAAGAACAATCAGGCCCACCGCACGAGCACAGGCCAAAGCTGCCGAGCTGAACGAGCTTGCATGCGCACCTTGCCTGGGCAAGTCGGAGGCTCGGTGGCAACTCATGGGGACCATCCATACCATCTTGTCGGCTCGGGCGAATCGACGCAAATCGACGACAGTCGACGCGAATCGACGCGAACCGACGCTGAATTGGCGCTACCTCATCGACTCCCAGACGCTGATCGACGCCAAATCGACGCGACAGACGGAACTGACAGGGCACACGAGGCTCCCATGATCTTTTTTTTTCCGGCGCACCTTTTTGGAGGAGAAGGAGGAGAGCAAAGGGGATGAATCGAACAGAGAGGCGACCACGACATCGCTCGAGTGACCCGTGCACTCCGTGACAGGACGCGCAGAGACGGCCCAGTGACTTTGTTTACTCCAGATTTCGTAATAAAAGGGAGGGGGTCTGGACCCTCCAAGACAAGCCATTTCAGACCCCCCCCCCGTGGGGGAACCCTCCAAAACATCGTCCCCAGACCCCCTCCAGGCCCTCCAAGATAGCCTGGAAGAGACCCCCCCCCCGAAATGAGACCCCCTCCCTTTTATTACGAAATCTGGAGTGCACGAGGCTCCCATGATCTGCCATCGAACGAAAAAAAAAAAACACGAAAAAAGACAGAAAAAACGAAAGCGAACGAGGGGGCCCATCGGGGCCCCACGCCCCGAGAGGCTTCCCGAGACCGCCTCCGGGGCCACGGAAGGCCCCCGGAGGGCCGCGGGCGCGAGGCCTCCGCGACGCCCACAGTGCGGCCCGCAGATGCCTCCAGGAGGTCCCCGGTCGGGCGTTGGCAGAACTGGGTTTAGTTCGGGAGCGGCAAAGAGGGGGGTGTCCAAGAGGGGGGGGTGCAAATCATGACCGGCGGCATGTGCGCGGCCCAGCGGGGGGGCCTGGGACGTAATGAAGTAAGAAGAGGCCATCGAACAAGGGGGGCCATCGGGGCCCCACGCCCCGAGAGGCTTCCCGAGACCGCCTCCGGGGCCACGGAGGGCCCCCTGGAGGGCCGCGGACGCGAGGCCTCCCTGACGCCCACGGTGCGGCCCGCAGATGCCTTCAGAAGGTCCCACCTCCCTCGTCGAAATTGAACGCAAGTTTTAGCCGCGACCTGGCGGCGCCCCCCGACCCCCAATTTCAATGTTCACGCCGACGCCAGCGACTTCGAGATTTTCTTCGGACCCCGCCGGCCGCGATGCGCCCGTTGATGAACATTGAAATTTGGGGGTGACGGGGGTGGAAAAAACTTGCGTTCAATTTCGACGAGGGTTGCAGGTCGGGCGTTGGCAGAACTGGGTTTAGTGGAACCTGGTGTAGTGATTTGTACCGGGGGCGCCCCCCCGCCCCATTTCCACTAACCGGAACTGCCGTCACCCGAAAAGCACCAGTTGCGGCAAACCTGATTTAGTGAATCTGGCCAGTTGAGGGGCCCCAGGGCCCTACCACTAGCCGGGTCCCCTTACCTGGGGTCCTGGCTATACCCGACCAGGAGGCCCTCAAAGAGGCGCAGGGAAGCATCTAAGAGACGTCCAACATACTCCCGGGAGTCCCCCGATGTCTCAGCATGGCATACACGCCTCGGCGATGTCAACAGTGCTGGCCTTCTCCTGTCATGTTTCCGATTTCAAAGCCAACCAGAGCTTCAGAGCCGACCAACCGTCTCGAAGACTTTCGTAAGCATTGCCTTCTGAAGTTATCGAAATTCCAGGGTGAAGTGTGGGTGAACCGCGAAGCACAAATCCGTTGAAAACCATGAGAATTGTTTGCTTCATGCATTGCCGAATGGACGAGTTTGATAAGGGGCAAGAACCCTAAGAGTAACGAAAGATGTCCCTATGGACAACCCAAGAGGCTTTCACGAACACACTGGCCAACAAGTCAGAACCAGTGGCGGGATGGGCCACAGGCCACTAGGCACGGTAACAATCGTTGATACTGTTGCAACTCCAATATGTCACCGCGCCATTTGTTCCGACGCGCGGCCTCACGTCTTGCGGAGAGCGCCTCGACCACCAGAGCGCACTCCGTCTCAGACGCAGAATTCGCCGATGGTTTGCCACGGCGCCGGCTTCGCCTTCTTGGGCAAGGTGCACGGCGACATATGAAAATCCAACATATCGCGAGCAGTACGGCTATGGCCCGGCTGGCGAAAACGCTCTGGCATTGTGAAGGCGACGCTACGCTCGCATCTCGTCGGATGATGCGCTCGCCGCTTGCAATTAGACACCCCTTGAACGGGCTGGTTGTCTTTCACGTCGTGACCCTGAAGCTGATGTCGCCACTAAGCAATGGCAACTCGGCCCCTCAAACAGCTGAACCGTCGCTTCCCCTGCGCTGAGACTACTCTTCAGAAGCTGTCTCTTATGCGACACGCAAATAATGCACATCGCAACCACATTTCGCCGTATGTGTGCGTCGTGACTGCGACCAACTCGTTCTAGTATGGATATGACCATTGGTTGTGGCATCGCCCTTTCAGACCTGATGCGTCTGCTGATCAAGTGTCTCGTTGAATGAGCAAGTTGCACGATGGCGCGGTTGAAGTTGC